CAAGCCTCAGGCATTATAGTTCTGTGTAAAGAATATGGATCTGTCTGAGGAATAACATGGAAGTATAGCAAAGTAAAGCAAATAGTAAAGCAAAGAAAAAAAAATAAGCAACAAATTGATCATCAAATATTACAGTCTGGGTTCGTGTTCATTTTCACATGGCTGAGCAACTCACCATCTCACAGCAGGTTTATTGCCATGTTTCTTTCATCAGGGAGCTGCAGAAAATCTGATCTCCAAAATGTATTTTTGCACTGTTTTGTTTTAACAAACAGAAGAAGATTATATGTTTCAATGAGTCAGGATGCAGACTTTACCTTTGTGATGAGGTCTCTACTGCTTCAGCTCTTCATTTCACACTGTTATCTTACCCAAAGGTTTCTGGGAGTCCTGCTGCGAACCTACAAGACCTTCTCTTTGAGCTCTTCCCTGTGTAATTTTTGATAATAAAAGAAAAAACTGAACTTAAATGCCTCTTCCCTCAGCAAGTGGTGCATCTTCCTTGAATGCTCCCATGCTGTTGCAAAAAGTGTAGTCCTCAAGGGTTGCACCAAGCTTTGGAGCACAATCGAATCCTGAGTGGCACAGTGGTTAGGAGCTGATCCAGGGGGATATCAAGGTCACATGTGTGAAATAATCTATAGAAAAATGACAGTATAATAGTTATCAGCCAAACTTTTGAGAAAGTTTGATTTAAAACTTAGGACAGCTATTTGCTTTTCCCTCTAAGCAGACCTTTATACTGAGACTTTGCAAATATACTTTGTAAATACACATTTTAACTCCTGCTATAGGCTGATGCCTTCGCTGGAATTTTCCCTGGGCAACTTCACATATAGTGTCATTACAAAGATTTCTTCCTATTTGCCAACATTTCAGGTGCTAGCCCATTGTATAAAACCTCAATAATGCTTTGAAATGTGGCTTTTTCTTGTCTGGGGCAACAGAACCTTACAAAAGCCCAAATTATTGCTCAGCTCAGTAAAATTACATAGCTCTGCTTTGTATAGAAAAATAGAGCCCCAGCTATTCTGTAAGCCACAATACCCAGCCAGACTGGGATGATATTTGTTTCTCAGCAATGATGGAGAAGAGCGTTTTCCTCTGTTCCAACATCAATCCAACCTGGCCAACACCTGGAGATTTGGCATGGTTATCTCAAAAAAACACTTTAAGAAAAGTACAACAATATGGGAAGAAGACATTTATCTATGTGTTATTATTAGCCTGGATCATATTTTTGTGAATCACGAAGGAAAATAGAAACACAGCTGTCTAAGCATTGCCCTTTAAATGTCAGGGCAGTGTGTATGCATGTGTGTCTGTGTATATATTTATCAAGATTTAAATTTTAATTCTCTGTTGTTTTCTTCCCACTATAGATTTCAGATGAGTTGATTTATAATATACCAAACACACTGGTAGTTTTCAGGAGTTATTCCAGGATAATTAGCTGGGCACTTAATTGTTTCAGGTTCTCTAAAGAATTTTTCTGGGGTTTGCTCTTTGCCTACCCCATGTGTAAAATCAGCCAAATAAATTTTTTTGGGAACTTCTGTCTCTGAAACATCTCCATTGTATTCACCACTGAACATTGTGTATTGATAAAATACTCCAGCATGCTTGAGTACTTGATCTGAGCTTTTTGCCAACTTCAGAAATATATATCTATTCAAAAATGACTTTAAAAATATTAGCTTTTTAAGTTTAGGTTAGGATGAGTGAGCATTTACCTTAGAGCTTTCACGAACTTCTGTTTGTGAAATCTTTCTCCTTCTGTGCAGCAGAGACATTCCATGGTGGCCTTTGGAAGGCTCTTGGGAGGATTGCTGAGGTCTCTTGCACAGTAGGATTCCCAGGTCTGAAATATGGGTTAAGGACAATTAACAGATGGGCACACTCTGCAATCCCAGTCACCAGATCAAGGGTTTTAGAGCCTCTGCATTACAAGCTGGCCAGACTGTCAGACCAGAAGCTGGCCTTTCCCACAGATTTTCATGGAGGAAAACCCCAATATTGCGTGCCAGAGAAAATTCTTTTCTGTAAGGCTGAGTACTTGATTTCACATGTAGGAAAAATATCTCCTCAGTCCTTAATCTGATACCTTAACAGTTTTAAACCTTTTATTTGGGACTTCTCTCAGATCAAGAGTAAACAGTCAGGTAGGTATTTTATGATGAAATTGTGTGATTGCTTCCATGTGACAAAAAATAAATGCTTGCTTCAGTTGTAAAGGAAAATCACATAATTATTTATGTTGAAAGGAACATCCAGAGTTAATTTACTGACCCAACCCACCAGCTCAGGCAGCATGAGCCAGAGCAGGTTACCCAGGACCATTTCCAGATGGGTTTTGAATATCAGGTTTCTTCAGAAACCACGATAAATAAAGAATTAAAGCTAGAACTTGTTCAATTAGACCAGAATATATCTCTTTCCTCTTCTGCAAGACCTTCTACACTACGACAAAAGAAATAAAGAAACAGGATTTTCTCTTTGGATTAATTTAGATTAAGTAACATTCTTTGCTTTCTGGCTTATATACTGCTGTTTATAAAAATTATCTGCTTCAGCAGTGGAAGAAGTTTTCTGCATATATATTGGTATGGATGTTTAAATTCATCAAGAATGTCTGGATATTTTGGGATGAAAGCAACTCTATAAATATAACAGACTTTTTTATTTTTAATTATTTCTTTACCCATGATGAGAACTCCTGGAGTGTTCTGAGTGTTGTAGAGGTTGTGGTGGTGGTTTCTGACCTGGCATTGCATCTCCCCACAGCACACAAAGATTTATTTCAGAAGAAATTAAATTAGCCCCTCATTCAGTTTTCCACTCACACAGTATTTTACATTAGATGTATCTAACTAGTTTCTTTCTCATCCTTATTTTGTGTGGCATGTGGAACTAATATTCTCAGAGAAATTAATTTGTCTTTTGTGTTCTCCCTCAGTTTTGCTCAGTGTCATGCTGAGCATAGGCTGAATAGGCTGACAATTCCAAATATTAGACTTTCGCTGCATTTGGCTTTGGGATACACACTGATGCCCTAGTTTCTTTCAAAGAGGAAAATTTGAAGAACCACAGACATTTTTACCTGTGAAGAAGTAAACGTTGTCATCTCTTCTGTGTTTTGTCATCCCTGATTCACATGAAAGAGTGTGTGTCCATGCCTGTGCACATGTCCTACAGAGGAAACCTTGCTCATACTTGTTTGCACTGTCATTCCATCTGGAGAATACTGATATTCTCCTCATTTTCTGTAAAAACCGAGAAAGATCTTGCCTATCAGCTGAGTAAAGCTGTTAATGGGAAAAATTACAAACTAATTCTTTTTTTTGGTTTTCCTAAAAGTTCCCCTCTATCTAAAGCCCATTTTCAGTGTCACACACGCTATTTTTAAAATGGATAGTTATAATAAATGCACCCAATAGTGCCTGTCTACTGCCCCTTGCAGCAGCTGTGTCATGGCTGGAAGCCCAAGGGATTACACAGCTTACATGGTTACACTGCTGAAATTTTGTGCCACCATCTGTAGAAGGCAATGAGGTTCTTGGTTTTGTCATCCCAGTCCAGGAGCAGTGAAAAAAAGTAATCAGAAGTCCAAGACATTTTAAGATGGTCATAACTGGTTTGGATGACTTTTAGAACTACTGACAAAAGCTACCTTCTGATATGTCCTATTGTCATTGAGCTTTAAACTACTGCTTGTTTTAAAAGCACTAGAAAAGTGCATTTTCTTCTAGATCTTTCTCCTGTAATTTTCAAAATCAGATAAGGTGGAAAACTTCTTTTCCAAGAAGTTGGAGATGCTCAGTTTTAGCAGTAATATAAACACCAGGACAGAATGAGTTTTATATCTGGTGGTCTGGTGACATTAAAAATAATTCAGAAGGGATTGAGGAGAATTGTTACTATTTCACAATGTTTACATGGAGGCTGTGGTTGGCTTTTCATTTCTTTTTCAGCCACTATTGTTATTCTAGTTTGGAGATGAATTGTGAGATTTGGGAAAGTTCATGTGAACTGTTCTCCATCTATAAGGGTATCAGGACTAGTGATATAGAAAGAAACAAAACCAGTATTAGAAACAAATCTTTGGAGGAAAGAATATGTGCAGTACATGTAAACACCTCTAGCAAAATTTAGAAAACAGGTAATTTTTTGCTAGATTCCTTTATGCTAAATTCCTTTTAATAGGCTGCAGTTTGTATAACTTGTCAGATTTTTTTACAGAAATTTCTTTGCAGAAAATCAGAAAATGTTGTTTTGATGAATTCAAAACATTCTGTGATGACTTGGTTTTTACTAAATTTGATTTTGATTATATTAGTATTACCATGCAAGCATTAAACAATTTTATTTGTTTTGACCTTGCTCAGACAGCTCACAATTCTAATAAAACAGGAAATATTCATATACAGGTCAGGAGAATCCTAACTGTTTTTCTTTTTAAGAGTTGCTTGTAAGGAGGAGAAACATTTTTATCCACCAGATATGACATTTAATTTGACAATATTAAATGCACCAATCTTATATAAAAATTAAATGTAAAAATATCACTTTTTAACACTACATTTTTGATCATGCAGAAGTATTATTCATCTGTTGTGGAGCTCTTTAAAATATTTAAGAAGAAGTCTTCTCATGAGATGAAGGGTAGTAATGACAAATTATCTCAGTCTCAATGTGAGTACAGTCTTAGTTCAGGAGAATTTAGGTTCCAAAATGCAATTTTGAGTAGCTGAACTCTGATCAACTGAAATGTCCTGAATCTGCATTTTCAGAACAAAGAAGATACCTTTGTTTCATCTTGTGAGGAATATTCCAAGAGCATTACTCAACTGAGGTGTTACCATTTCCACGGGGAATTTTGGTGGCCCACTGGTGTCATTATTATGGCAGGAGATTTGGCAGGTGATTTACATATATATATGATGGTTACAGTGACAAAAAAAACCCATGAAAATGAGGCCTGAAATTTGGAAAATGTGTAATGGTGTGTGTGTGGGTTGTAGTAAGCCCTGAATATGCAGGATTTACAGATCAGAATTGCCTGTTACACACTATTATCAAATACGCTCCAGAGGAGCTTGTCTGCACAGACTCATGGAAAGAATAAATGGGGATGTGTGACTGGTAAAATGTGTTTGTTTATCTGCAGAATTTGCTCCTTATAGATAAGAGAAAAAGAAAAATGCTAAATGTCATCCAGGAGGAGTCTTCCCTGGGAGATGTGCACCACAGTATCATCAGAGCTACAGTCCAGAACAGGCAAGTCAAGAGCTCTTTGAAGGACTCACTAGAAGTCCTGGAAGTCTTCAAGCACAGGAGTTAGTGAGGACATGGTTCAGATTCCATGTTCCAAATTCTGTTGGAAAATAGCGTGCAGGACAGTGTGCTTCCTGTCACACACATTATACAAAATAAGTAGGTGTATCCAGGCCTTCTTTGAGCTCTGCAAAAGAACATGAAAGTCATGGTAGAAAGTACATTATGAGATCAAAAGAGTACTTGCTGCTCTTAGTTCACTAAAATTATACTTTTGATGGGTGCTTTTCTTGTCAATCTCTTCACACAGACTGGCACAGACTATAAAACTATGAATGGAGACATGACAACTTTAGGGCTAGAGATGTTTGTGAATATTGGGGGAAATCCATTTAGTTTTGGTTAAATTTACCTAAAATAGAGAAAAAGAAATGCAGTGCTCTGTAGTTCCAGATCAGTCTTTCACGGGCGAATCTTAGCTTGCATTCCAGGGGAATCCTCCAAGACTGGACATAAACAATGTCTGCCACCTTGCTATCAAGACACCAAGCCACTTTTTCTGTGTCTGCTGGAGGCCACAGCATGTCTTGTTGCCAGCCAAAACACTGGTTAAGGCTTATTAATGTGTTTATGTTGATTTTTGATGTCCTTCTAATTTGCCCTCTATGAAAATTAGCCTAAGACCTGAAAAATCTGATCTCTTTGAGGGAAGGTTGCAACAAAACCACTATTCAGCTACTCATGTGAAAAGCTCAAAAAAATGTGGTGATCTGGATTTCCTTATGTAAGGTATTATGTATACTAAATAAACTGGTGTCTTGTGGGTAAAATGTATTTTGTCACTCTGCATTAGCTTCATGCTTTATAAAAGAGTTTGAGAATGAGTAAAAGCAGGAGAACTCCATAGCCCTTTTTATCTTTATTAAAAAAAAACACTTTCAAATTTAAACTCTGTCTCTTGATCCTCATTCTAAACCATCTTCTTGTTCTGCTTTTAAAATTTCATGCTCCCTTTAATAGTGGAAAACAATTGTTTTGAAAACTTGTAAGGAAATTCTCTTTAAAATTAAAATCTATCTGGAATCACTACTGAATAGACACTCTTACAAGGGCTGGACTGCAGAAACATTTCAAAGGAACTAGCATTTAGACCAACTTTTATTTTGACTTTTGTACTACAGACTGTTAAGAAACTTCAATTTAATACCATGATGGACAAGAGCTACATAAATTTTCTTTAAACCTAAATAGGTAATAACAATATTTATGAAAAATATACTGTTGGTACTGTGGGAAAATAGAAATGGAATAAAAACTAAAGATAAATAGCTCATTAAATGTGAGTATGGTAAGAAATTTAAAATCCCACAGCTTTCTTAAAGATGAGGTTAATGGCAAGGCTGGATCCAAACACCAATGCAAGGGAGGAGTTTGGCACACTGAAGTGTTTCAAAATCATTTAAAACTGGAAAATCTATCCTTCAGCAATTTTTTTGGCTGTGTTTCTCCACTCATCACCTGCATGACAGTGACTGTCCCTGGATTGTCTCTGAGCAGAGATAACACATTCTGAAATCTGTTCCAGCTTCTCACCACAGCTCCTAGGACCTTTCAAAAGGGATCAAGAAGGTTCTGCTGTGTCAGCAGCATTTTCTCTTACTTACCTGGATTAGATCATTCAGTCTACATGATGATACCCAAAAGTGCTACTTTCTCTGGGCCTTAGCGAGGTGATAATTTAACTATCTTATTGTTTTATTAAGACCTTAGCCCAGAGGACCAGGAACACTTCAAAGCTGAATGCTGCTAGACTCTTTTGGCATCTGAAATTATTACTAGGATCTGCTTATTCTCTCCACTATATGTTTCTTTCATCTTCAACGAGATCCTCTTTGTTCTGGTTATAAAAGCCCAAATTATAAATCTCAGTGGCTCTCTGATAGACTCTAACAGAACAACATGCCAATAGTATGACTGAGAAACAGAACAGAGTGGTTAAAAATCTGCTTCAGCTATTTCATTTGCCTCCATGAATGTGAAAATATTGAAAAAGTACACTTTAATAATTTATTCTTATTGTTTGTTTTCCTGAAAGTTTCACAAAGTAGAAGGCTTTCATTCATAGCACATTTATTAGGGAAGGCTTGAAACCTTGTGCAACCTACCTGGCATGCGATTGGCTATTCGCCTTTTGTCTAAAAAATCATCCTGCCACTTTTTCTATGAAATCATAGCTTGTCATCAATCTGACACAAAATTTGAGCTGATCACTCCCATTTAGACTGCTCTAATCTCCAAACTGCAGGAGCACATGCAGTCAGAATGGATTTGGGCATCACACAGAGTTCTCATCTCAGGTGAAGAAGGGCGAAGACAGTGAGGCAGGACAGCAAAAGTACTGAATGGTGCAGCTGAGGTCTCAATCAGGCAAAGAAATAAAGTTGATGAAATCTCTTGGGATTCTGATTGCTCTTTTTCTGGAACTAAGTTTTCAACATTTTGCAGGAAACTTGCTACATTTCCCTAACATGCTTTCTGTAATAGATGTTCATGACTATATGAAATGACATGCAGATCAGTGCAGGGATGTAACAATGTATGTGGAGATTAGGATCATCACATTGCTGATAGCAGAGACTGAGGAGGAGCAGGAAATCTGCTATCTCCTTTTTTTTTAATGAAATCACTTTTGATAATTATGTTTATAGCCTTATTGGGCCTCCCAGGGGGATTACAAAGACTAGAGGAGAGAATAAAAATGGTTTCTAACATTTCTTATGCTCTGTGCTCAGATGTTTCAAGATTAAAAGGGTCTGGAGTTCTTATTGTTAGCAGTGGACACAGATATCTGAGGTAGCCTCCAGCATTAATAGACCCAGTTTCCTCCACAAATTGCTCACAACTTCCACAGATAACAGAATGGATGCACTATTATTCTAACTTTGCATATGGGTGTCTAAGGCAGTTTGTAATTATATAACCTTCCAAAGCTCTATGACAAAGAAAGTTGAAAACCCCAGTCACAAGAATTGTATTAGTAGGATAATAACAGAGATGTGCAAATACACTCCAAAATCCTTTCATTGATTCATAACTTAGAACTTTCTGAATTTCAAGAACATTTATTGTAAAAGCAACTAAAAAGTAACCACCTTTTTAAGAAAAAAACTGGTCCTCAGGAACCCTTGGATTTCAAATTCCAGCCCTGATTTGCAAATTCTACTTCTTTCCTCTCTTCTAGACTTTCATTTACACTTTGTATTTGCCTCACAGCAATTTCAAGGCTGGGAGGAGGGGGAAATGATAGAAGTTATTCATGCTAATATGCTTTCTGCCATATGCTTAAGAAAAATCTCCTATGCAGTGTCCTTTGTGGAACATTCTTCCTGAATACTTTGCAGTGGATTTTTAAAATACATATATGGTGCTAAAGTAATTCTAATCCTGCTAGCAACTCTGGGGAAATAGATAGTTTCTTCCTACAGGAATACATTGACAATCTTGAAAGTTTTTCACTGTCTAATGACACACCTCAATGCTGAGACCATGGAAACCTTTATTGTATGTTCATGACTAGTGGCCTGCCACACAAGATACAAGATACAGTTTATGAGTCTATTAAAACTTCTTCCTTGATTTCCCCTCTGCTAAACTTGATGTCAGAATTTCTAAGCAGTTTGCAATGGTTCCAAAGTAAATCTCTTCAAGCTTTCAAGCACAGCAGCATTCAAGAGCTTGTCCAGCCCAGAATTTTTAAGCATATCTACCTATGCTGGATCAGTCTGGGAGCTTTTCCAAAACTGGCAGTCTTTGTAAAAATCCTTTATAGACATATTTCTAATCAGTCTCTTCCTACCAAATGTAGAATAAATCCTGAACATCTGTCAATTTTACCAGTACTCCTGACTGAATGATGACATTAATATTTGTCTCTTGATACTCAAAAATTTCCAACCCCTTTCATAGTGAGTGTTAAACACAAAAACTCCCATCCATAGTCCATTCCAGTGAAAGGAAAGGGAGTAACAAAATAAAAGTGGGAATTAGAAGATAACTTGGGTTTTAATGTCATAATTCCTTCAATACTTTTAAACATATTTGCTATCTATGACAGTTTCTATGCAATGCTTCATGGTTGATACTATTTATCTCTCTAGATCTTTTCCAGTTTTATGTGTATCTAGTCATATGTCCCCATTTGGTGTCTTAAATACGGGGTTTCTGGGTGTATGGACGAGTTAATTTGTTAATTTGTTGCCCTTACACCATTTTCCCTAAAATGTACTGAGCCTTGGCTGTTAACTGCTGTCTGAAGGTGATAGGAGGTGTACTGTAGGGAGTGTTTTCAAAAGACCCATTTTTTATATTTTTCTTTCAGGTTATGTCTCATGATTGCAAAGTAGCCGTAGCCAGGTTAGTGTTAATTTTTTTAAAATCAGAGTAGCTCATTATTGCACTGATTTCCAGTAACCTTCAAAGTAAAATAATTTAAAATTAGCTTAGCCAGCTGCATTGGGGTTTTGTGGCCAGGTTTTGGTAGTGGGGGGATACAGGGGTGGCTTCTGTGAGAACCTGCCAGAAACTTCCCCCATGTCTGACAGAACCAATCCCTGGTGGCTCCAAGGTGGCTGGTAAAGGCTGGGCTAGTTAGAAATGATGGAAATACGTCTGTGATAATATAATTTAAAAGAACTTATAAAAGAAAAGTTCTTGTACAGCTGCAGTTGTGACCAGGGAGGAGCAAAGCAAGACACCCAGGTCAGTGCAGAAGGAGGGGGAGGAGATGCCACAAGCACCAGAGCTGGGTTTCCTCTGCAGGCTGTGGTGAAGGCCATGGTGAAGACCAAGGTGGGGCAGCTGTGTCCCTGCAGCTCCTGGAGGTCCATGGTAGGGAGAGATCCATGCAGTCCATGGAGGAGACCCACAGCAGAGCAGAACCCACCCTGGAGCAGCCTGTCCTTGAGGGTTGGTACCCACGGAAGAGTGACCCACACTGCAGCAGTCTGGGGAGGATTGCTGCCCATGGCATGGACTCACATTGCAGCAGCTCACAGAGAACTGCTGCTGGTGAGATGGACTCACACTGGAGAAGTTCATGGAGAGCTATTTCCCATGGGATGGACCCTGTGGCAGAGCAGGGGAAGGACTCCTCTCCCTGAGCAGTGGGAGAAATTAGGGATGATGAATGGACCATAACCCCCATTCCCTGCCTTCTTGTGCTAGGAATTACAGCTGGGAAGGAGGAAAGGGGTGGACAGGAGGTGTTTTATTTTGCTTCTCATTATCTTGCTCTGATTTTGTTAGCAATAAATTCATTAATATCTTTAATTCAAATCTGTTTTGTCCATGACTATTGACTATTTGCCCATGAGTATTTGTTAAGTGATCTCTCCTGGTCTTTATCTCAACCTTATCTCAATGAACTCTTATATTTTCTCTCCTCTGTGCAGCTGTAGAGGGGAGTGTCAGAGAGGCTTTGGTGAGTGCCTGGCATCCAGCCAGGGGCAAGCTACCTCACCAGTAAATCATGGCTATCATTTTAATTCTTATCAAATCTGGAGCTAAGGTTAAGGTTAGTATTAGTGATCAGAAAGTGAGGAAGAGATACAAATTTTGTTGTACTGTTTCCAGACTAGAGAAATAAAGCAAGTGTACTGACCAAGTGGCTCCAGTTTTCTCTCCAACTTGACAGTAAGGCTGAAAAGTAAGCAGTGAATTGTTAAAATTAGGGCTATAGATGGTATAAAACAAATGAGCATGAAAATACTTTTAAAATGTATAGTGGACTGTACATAGAAGAAAATAAAAACAGTTCTGCTTTTACATGAGAGTTAATATTGTTTTAATCTTTTATCTTCAGGGCTTGCCTGCCAGCTTTTAATGTCACCTTTAACAGTCATATTTGACTGTGCTATGGGTTGGTTTAAGTTTGAGATAATAATGGAGATGTAAGAATCCTTACATTTGGTGTAAACCATTAATGTAAAACAAAGGTTTGAGTTGTATGGGTGAAAGTTTTTTTCTTTTTGTCTCAGGTCTGGTTTCCTTTTGTTTCAGGTCTGGTTACCATGAGCAGAGCTTGGGCTACAGTTATTTTCAGTAAGCTGTAGGGGTGGTCTATCTTTAGGGATTTCTTAGATGAACAAATGAAAATGACAGGATTTTTAAAAGGGACCATAGTTACTTCTTTTAGTCTCTGTAGCTGATGAAACAGGGTTACAGAGCAGAATATGGGAGAGGGAAGAAAATAATTGTCTTATTATGATAAAGAAATGAAAATGGAATTTTAAGATCATTGTACCAATAATTTCCACTTTTATTTTATGCATGACCATCTGTTATAATACTACTAAAACTCATTTTAACCATAGGCGTTAAAAAAAAAAAGAGGGCAGGAAGAGGTTTATGTTTTATATTATTTTTAAGATATTGCCAGAATAAAATTAATGCTGAGCAGTGGTTATCTTTGTTATTTCTAGAAGAGTTTGACAACCATGAGTAGAGCAAGGTTAGACTAAAGGATGTAATTATTGTTAAGTACATGAGAGAAAGAAATAATGAGAAACAGCTTCCTCCATTTTTATCTCAGATCAGAAGAGTTGTGATGCTTTTACACATGTTCTTATAAAGGACTAAGAGCTCACACAAGTTATCAGGCAAGATTCTTTCTCCCTCCCATACTCATTATGCTTCAGTTGCAACTAATTATATCTTCTAATATCCATCCACAGGTCTCTAAAAAGAAATGACCTTGTAGCTCTTGATTTTTGAACTAAAGTTCATGGGACTCTCATGGGCTTGAAAGAGTCCTGGAGCAAGCTGAAATTACAACTGATTCTTTAACTTCTCTTATGAACATGATTATGATTCCCACAAGGAATGCTAGGATGCTCCTTGAGATACTTTTTAAGGACAGCTGTGACATAAGCTTTGGGAAGATGATGGACACTCTCTCACTGGGGGAAATGACATCAAGTGTGGGATTCAGTGTACATTAAGACACCTGCATTTGGGTATCTGAAGGGTTTAATTTAGTTTTGTGTGCATGCTGCCTGAGCTCTTGCTATGGTCAGTGGAGGTGTGAGGAGTCTGGTTGGTGGAGCCCTACAGGTGTTTGCACCAACATGTGCTTCATTAGAATGAACAAAATCATTCCAGAGGCACCACTTACTGGAATAACTAATGGCTCAGATAATTTTCCTAACAATAGAAGTTGCACATCATTGGAGATGTGTTCAAAAAAAGACTGGATGGGGCCAGTGCCATGGCACAGTTGATGAGGAGGTGTAAGGTCATAGGCTGGACTTGAGGATCTCAGAGGTCTTTTCCAGCCTAGTTGATTCTGTGATTCAGTGTGATTCTGTGATTCTGTGAGATAAAGGAAAGCATTTTGTTTGCCAGAAGCCACAGGTCCCACAGACTCGGTGCTAAATCTGCCCATCTCACCTGTAGCACTTGGCTACTCCTGAGCATTAAAAATGGCATCAGATGCCTCTGTTTAGGGAGTTAGAGTTCAGTTTAGCTCTGAATTGATCAGACATGGAGACTGGACAGTCATATTCAGGCACCTACATTTAAGTGTCCTAATTTGGTACTTAGACTCACACAAAGGGGAGTTGTTTGCACGGACAGAAGTTCTGGAGTGCTGTTCAGGGGGTTTAGTTACCTGACCTCCAGCTACTGCACTCTACAGACCCACTTCCATCTTTATCACATGAGAAAGACCTGCAGATACTTGTGTAGGAGACAACTGAAGTATGACATAACATCTGACAGTTTTTGATGCTCATCTTCAAAATAAATCTCTTAGGATTTTTCTGTCTTGACACGAAGGTTTCTCTGTTCTAAAACAGAGAAGTTCTTGAATTATGGTGCTCATTCAGAGTATATTTGGATAATTTAAAGGTATAAAAAAACATTACATGGTTGTAATAATTATACCTCCCGAAAGTATTGCACTATAGGAAATCCTGAATTGTTAACATTCTAAAGAAATTCAAATGCATATGCTATGAAAATACACAAATAAGGCATCTACACTTTCACGTTTCTGTCTTGTTTTCAGTAACATTTTCAAAGTTTTCAATCAGCTGGCAAAAAGATAAGTTTTGTGAGATAGATGCAAGCATCCCTAAAAAAATAATAAAATAATGGAGAAATTTTGATTGCAAGAGACCTCAGGAGGTTATTTACTACAACCCTGCACTCAAAGAAGGACTGACTTCTAAAAAGAAAGGAGGATTTGAAATGTGGTAAGTGGGTTCAGGAACATGTCAGAGGACCCAGCAGGGACTATGAGGTGTTTTCTCAGGACAAAAAAGTGCAGTCTTTTCTCTTGGGTGGGGGCAAGAAGCCAAAGAGGTAGCTCAAATAATAGCTGAACAAGTAGAGGGCCCATGTTTGCAGAGACAAAGCCTGTCTCTTTGAAGCATTGGAGACTTTTTTTGAATTAATTAGAAAAAGAGTTGACCCTTAAAGAGTGCTCTTTCAGGACTAGGCATCTTGGGAGTAGCTGGGATATTTAAGGTTGCAATTAACAGTTTGATCTTAATGATAATTTTTAATATCATAAATCTGATTGTAAATTTTTAGTATCCCCGTGGCCTGAGCTACCATAAAAATTGTGTGAGAGGATTCTAAGCTGGTTTTTTTTCCTAGGCAAGAGGGTATTATGGCTTCATAAAGATGGAATCAAACAATTTATTTGGTGTTCTAATGTTTTTCAGTTTTATTTGCTTGAGCCTCTTGATATGGAAATAACAGATTAATGTTAACATAAACTCTGCAAGAGATTAATGCAGCAAAACACATCCACCCAAAGCCACTTTAAGGTTATTTTTAGAGATAATTTTTCTTTTAGCTGCTACCATGCTAGAATGTATACATCTGTGGAGAATTACAAGACTTTGTGGTGATTGTCTTCTGTAATGTCTATTTCTATGTTCCTCTGGCAGAACAGGAATAAAAGCAATAGGTAAACCTCTTTGATTATCTTCTTTTCAATGTGGCCATGAAGGAGAAACAGAAATAGCTTCATAGAAGAGAAAAATATTTAAATTTCCTCTGACTTACTGTGTATCTGTTCTAAATACCTATCAATCTGGAAATCATTGAAATGAAACATTTGAAAAGCAGTTGCTTGTGCCTTATCCCACTTTATCAAAATGTTAATTTGCTGTTCTAAACTAATATTTGCATTTTAATCTTTCATACAGTTAAAACATCAACATTTTTTATACCAAGTGTAGGTCAAAATTATTTTTTATTATCAAAAGATTAATCACCAATAGAAATTTTTCAGCAGTCACATAAAAACAAATAAATACACATAATGCCACCCTTACTTTAATAAACCAAAGAAGACTAGTTTTGGAGTAAAATATGATTCTGTTCAAATAGGAATACTATAGCTCTGGCTCTAATGTCTGATAAATGGTCATCCATCAGTATTGTGATCTAACATTAATGAGCTCTTCTGGATCTGCATCTGACATAGATACACTTAGGGCAAAAGAAGACTTGGGGGCTGTAAAAAACCTAATCAATATGGGCTTGTGTTATGCAAGCAGAAGATCTGTGAGCTTTCAGGTATGTGACAATATTTCTATAAAGTCTTAGCTCAATATAGTCTGTAACTGCCACACCAATTACAAGCCATTAAAACACATTGAATTGCAATCTTGATGGAGAGAAACCTGAAATTATGACCACCCAAGATCTCTTCAGTACTCAGCTAAAGGTCTCTGTCCATTTTAAGGTGGCATAATACTTTACTGCTGGCACCATGGACTGAGATCTCAAACTAAGTTTAGATCATCTTCAGATATTTTTCAAAAGATAATAATGGTTTATGCCCAAATGCAGAAAAGTGAGAGTTATTTCTAGCTTTCAGAGTCCCTTATCTTCTTTTGTGCTTTCTGTAAACTTTTGAAGTAAGCAGTATCTGAGAATATTTAATTGATATAGATTACCTCCTAAGTTCTATCACACCAAAATCTGTAGTAGTGTTCCCTAAACAAATCCTAGAAATCTGAACAGGACACACAGATAAGCCATGACTTATAGCAGAGGCAGCTTTCTGCAGCAGCACCCAAAGGCCAGTGGTATCTAAATTTACACAGAGACTCTGGACACCTCTGTATAATTATCTGAATCATGAACTTAATGACTTACATTCCCTCTTATTCTATTTCTTTGCTAACAAACATTTTGCAATGAAGACCAAAAAGAGGTTTTGGAGTTTTCCTGCTGATTAGTCTTTGACCAGCCTTTTCTTTCCCACAGCATTGTGCAAAATTTTTATAAAGTTATAACTTTTCATAATCTTTCAGCATCAAAGTTTTCTGGAAGGACTAGAAGGAGAACAATTTTCAAAATACTTTGTTTTTTTCAGGACCTGGATTTCAACTCACTCTGAGTCAGCCTTGCTTTGTAAAGAAATAGGATAGCTAGCAATGTTACTCTGATTTAGTATCTGGTCTGATCTTGAATTATTCTGCAGCTCACACAACAACAGCTGCTGTGGAAATCAAACAGAATCAGGCTTTTTCAGAAGTTAGATGAGAATCTTAACTGTCCATGCCATGCAACAATACATTCATCTTGGCTCCAGCCTGCTCAGCCAAAATAACACAGTGCTTTGGAGCATGTCAATACAGCTGTGCTCCAGTGTATGCTAATATCTCTTCCTCCCACTCTTCTCCTTCTCCTTCCCTTGGCACAGAGCTGCAGCCGTAGGAGTGTAAGGAACAGAGGTGAAAAAACTTAAATGAGCCAAAGCTAATGTGCTTCAGAGCTTCTGCTTCCCTTCAGATTTGCTGAAGGAAAGAAGTGCCATGGAAAAGAAATACAAGCAGTGAAAGCACAATAACAGAGGAGATGAAAGTAGGAATCATCTCAAGGAAGCTGGAATCAGGGAGCTCTAAAAGGGGTACACACCCAGGTTAAAGTATTCTGTAAAGAAAAAAAAAGGGCCACTGAGTGGAGCCATGAACTCCAACACTGAATCACTGGGTAGGTTGGGGCATCTTTCTTGAAATTTTCCTCTTAGCTACCGCTTTGTTATTGATCAAGTTCAATACAACCTTTATGGATGCTAGCTTTTCAGAAACTGCAGGCCCATGGCCTCTCAGTCCTGCCTGAGAAGCTAGCCTGGGAAATTCATAGGAGGATTTCAAAACAATCCTCAGAGACAGAAAACAACTGCCAGGTGCTGTTTGTCTGTCCTCTTGTTTTCCTTGCAGGAGAGAGTCAGGGGGGCGGTGAGCCCCACTGACCAATGATGGTGATGTAGCACTTTGCTAACCAATAAGAGTTTCTTTTCTGTACTTTCCACTTATCTGTCTATAAGCCTAGAGCAATAAACTAGAGGAATTCTCCTCCTGTAACTCCCTTGAGAGTCAGTGTCGTTCTTTTTCGCCGTTCCTAATTAGAACGTCAAACCTTACAGGGCAATGCTTCACGGAGCCAAAGCACAGGCCTGAGAGCAGAGGACATGGTCTGTTAAGGCAGGATAGATGGCTGTACAGTCACAAAAAAACCCAGTAAAGCCACTGATAATCATAAATTTCAATCAGGATAACAACAACCATTTCTGAGCTGGGCTATTCTGGTTAGGGAAAACTCCATCACTGAACTCATGTTAATTTGGCGACTTAGTGAGACCACTTCTACACTGTACTTCTGCAACACAGAGTCTAAGGTTTTCCCTGCTCTTAGGTAGAAAGCAGGACTGTAGACACAGAGTTAAGAGCACCTAAATGTTGATCGCAGAATAACAGAATCACAGAGCATGCTGAGTTGAAAGGAACCCACAAAGACAACAGCTCCTGACCCTGCACAGTACCATCCCCAAGACTCACACAATGTGTCTCTGAGTGTTCCCTTGATCAGCTGGGTGGGTTACCTTGTCATAAAAGGAAATCAGGTTTGATTTTCAGGTTGATGTGCAGGATTCTACATGTGCTGGCAGTGCCTGAGCTTCCATTACAAGCAGTGGAGCACTAGGATGGGATTCAGCTTTTTAAACTCAGCTCTGTCATTTGCAAGAGCTGTTACAGAGTGTCCCATTCACTGACACAGGGCTGTCACAGCTGTAGAGAACTGGAAGCTATGGCAAATGATTTAAGGAAGAGCTGTACACTTTGGGAGAACAGCTGGAAGCCAGGTGGCATATCCTGATGGCACTGGGTGCCTGTATTTAGTCAACTGAATCAAGCATTCCTCCCAGTGACTGGTGACACCAGTGGAGCTCACTTCTCAGCAGGCATCTGCTGCAGTGAGATATCTGTGGGTTCTCATGAACAGAAAGCTTTGGGGCTTGAATCACTTGGCCACATATTGATTTCTGGTGTTATTTTTGAGGCCCTAACAATATTTCTCCAGAGGATTAAGGCCATATTTCTGCCCAGACTTCTTTCTGCCCAGATATCTTTCTTTCTGATTATCTGTGTGTGTAACAATTGTCTATGTGTTATACCTGCCGAGGAAAGATAAGCATTATATAAGGTCAAACTGGCAGAGTCGTGATTATATCTGACTCTTTTTTGATGGTGGCCATAATAGCTTTTGACAGAGGTTGAGCATCTAAGCTGATAGAAGAGATAACTCTCTTTTGTTTGATTATATTTATGTAGGTATAAATATGTAGAGGAATTTGATTTTTTCCTAAATCATGAAGTTCAAAGAGAATCCCCTTTAATGTGCTGTAAAATGGGAATATATATTTTCTTCCTATTTTTCAAGTAAAACAAATTTGCAAATACTCTGATTCAAAGCTTTCACATGTGATCTGCTTTAGTAATTGGGATGGTTCTGGTTGCCATAAATATTTAGAGATAAATCAGCTGAAGATATTACCCCTTAAGGGAAAAAGATCATTGGCACTAATTCTATTTACTGATCCAAAATAAGCCCATTGGTGTAGATTCAACAATCTTACCCTCTGCTTTGAAACATCTCCAAGTTATTTTACTTATCTTCTTCCTTTCCTATGGGTTTTGGCTTATGTTGACATGGATGTAGCCACCTGTAAAAAGGAATTCAGTACTCAGAATCCTGTGACAGCTTTCTCTCCCTATTAATTTCAGTGTTGATCTGGGTGGTCTGGAAGAGAAATAAAGAAAATAAAAGGTATGCTGCATTTATTTTATGACATTTCAAGGAAGAGTATCAGAGTAGTAAAGAGAGTAAAGATTGTGTGTGCTTAGCAGATCCATGATCTGCACTCTCATCCCCATTCTCTGTCCCTTTCTTTGCTCACATTCCCATGAATATGGGTTAGGAAGTCTCTTCCCTCTTCCCTTCACAGCTGTTAGAAAACTACGGGTGGGACACACTCACAAGGGATAGGAGATATGGATTTGAATGACTTCAGGATGAAGATGTGATTCAAAAGGGGAATAATCCAAATAAACACTTTGGGATCCCATTCTAAAAAATTTCTTCCTGTAATCCTTTCTCTATTCTGGTTACATTTTTCAGTGAAAGTGGCTGAAGCTATGGGACTTCATACTGAGATCAAGAAGGAGGGTAGGAAGCCCCTGTGGATTTTGCAAGAGCTCCTACAGATTGATGAGGTGTGTTAACAGTACTAACACTTTCTGTGCCATTGGGATGCTGTGCAAGATAGAAGAAGGTACTGATTTTCTGTCTTGGTGAAGTATGAGTCCCAGGAAAAAAAATCTTGGTACTTTAAATTTTGATCAAGTTTTCCAGAGATAGATACCTAAACACCATCTAAGTTGGCCTCCATGTGCCCATGGGTTTCTGCTTTTTTTACTTTATATTTCTGGCTGCCTAATTTGAGTTATTTTCAGTTATATTTAGATATTTTTCAAAACTCACAGAAGTCCTTGGTAAGTTTTGACTTAAATTCTTTTATCAATTCTTACAGATTTTTCAAGCAGGTTGAATATCTAATTTTGGAATGTTTCATTAAACCTCAATAGCTTAAAGTTTCTAAGAAATTCAGATGTTTTAAAACATCTTAGTATATGAACCAGTAAAGGTCTTCTGTAATATTGACTTCTGGTGATTCTCAATGACCCAATATTAGGAAAAGAAAAAATAAAGTTGGTCTTTCTCAACTATCTATGCTACAAGCTCAATAAACATAGGGTTTGTAAAATAAATCTGGGATGTTAATCAAAGATCTGTACACATCCCCATCTGTTGTGATAGTAAAACCCCTGCTGCTAACAGTATACAGAGAAATACAATTACTTCTCTTATAACTAGAAACACTAACAAACACTACTGGATACGAAAAACAAATAAAAGGACAAGCCAGACATCCACAAATTATTAATCTATGCAGATAACCTTCTGTTTACAATTAAAAATCTGGCATTTGAAGCACAAATGTCACCCAACCTATCAGATTCTAGAACAGCTTCACATTATAAATTCTATCAGTCTAATCAGATGTCTGTTTTCTGACATTACTCAAGAACTTACCAGGTCTTGGGATCAGAATTGGAAAGACAAACACAATTTATATTCTGATCAAGCTGGCCTATATGACATCATCAAAGATAAGATGAAATTTGCCATCTCATGCCTTTTGGCTGAGTTAGTTAGTACTGTGAAAATCATTAGCATTTGACAAGTTTGTTTTATTTTATTGTTATTTTTGCAGAGGAAGAAAGTGAGGAAAAGAGGGCAGTTGAACACTTTCAGATGACCATGCCATAATCTACAGAAAATTATTCAGAAGGTACAGTAAAAAAATGGATGTTCAATCCTCCTGAAAAATCTACAGAAATAGATGAGTATCACACCTGAGATTGTCAGCTAAGACGCAGCAACACCTAAAGCTATAAGAAACAGGGTTGGAGTGTGAAAGTTATTAAACATCTCTGGTTCTGAGGTCTGCAAGAACCATATACAAAGTTCTATTAAGATAGAGGTGGATGGCTCATAAATCATCCTGTGATACTGGAAAAAGGAAAGGAGACTGAAAGCTGGCATGATCTTCTGATGGTTTTAAAGACTAAATTCAATAGCGTCTCTCCTGACAAAGGACAGTCTTACGGGGTGACCAGATTTCTGAAATTGAGTATTCAACCTGCTTGAAAGTTACTAAGACTTAATAAAATAATTTAACTAATCTGCTCTGATATTTTTCAAAGTTTGTGCAGAAGATGAGAGATGTCTGCATGGACCAAGCTAGACTCGAGGCCAACAGTTCAATTGGTGTCATATGCAGTACAAATGAGATGGATCCCTTACTGTGTATGAGAAGAAGAAAAAAACTATGAAGGAAAAGGGATTCTTGTCAGTTAATTAACATTTCCTAAAGTCCAAAAAGTTTTTAATTGAAATATCCATTTATTTCTTTGCAGAATATGGGTAGTTTAATGTTAATTTTGACACTAAGATTTTGTTGATTTGTTTTTAACTTTCTGATATAGTCATTCATTCAGATCACTTACAATCCAAGCATTTTGCTTTATATATGTTTGAAATGACTGTGGCACAAGAGGTATGAATAGCAAAAAAAAAATCCAAATAAATAATTTGTTTAGGAAAATAGCCATATTTCTATATCACTAAACATTTAAAAGTGCAGTATGTGTTCCCTAGGCTTAAAACGTAAGTTTTTTTCACAATATATATAGAGGTAATTATTTTCCCTTCAATTTAAAGCAGCTTTATTGACTTCAGTAAATTGCTCTTGGTTTGCACCAAAGTAACAGAGCAAAATTTGACCTAGGGTTTTCAACATTTCTTTTAAATATAAATTTATAATAAAGCACAAAAGCTTCTTAATGATAAATTATTTTGTTTCTAGGCGTTCTGGCCCTGATGGGCTGTTAAAGTTTGATTTACTCTGCTGATCCATGACCTCTTTCTCTGACAACTCATTCTTTATGATAATATATTTATATTACAGAGGCACATGGAGGCTTCTGAGCTGACCAGGGCTTTGTTGTGCTGTTAGGCATTATCCAAACATACATTAAAAAAAATCTCCTTATTCCAAAGAGTTCATTATTTATGTAGCAGGCAGGTTTTTTCAGAGAGCTGAGTGAAATGGAGGATTAATCTTTTTAATGTTGAATGGAAGTTTTGTGGAAGATGCATTTATAACACCTGTATTACATATGCTTTGATATCAGTATCCCACTTGGATATCCTTGGCTTCTATGTTAGTAAAAAGAATGATGATTAAAAATTTTTGACCAAAGCTTTCCTGAGACAAAATGTTAAAATATTTGAGTCTTTGTCTTTGCCAGTTACAGCATGACAAAGACAAAGATTAAACCATTAATCACACACAGGCCTGTAAAAACTCTGTTTTGATCATGAGACAGTACTTGAAGTGATGATGTGCCAGTACTGTTATTTTGGCATGATAAAGTAATAGAGAGTATCTGTTTCATACTTTCATCTTTTGAACTTCTCTTGAAAGGAAAGTGAAGAATGAGAGACTACAAAAAACATATAATGTAAACATGACTGTTTGACAAACCTCAGAAAGGAATAAAAGTTAAGTGTGGAAAGCCTGCTGAGGTTTCTTTCATTCTTTTCCTGCATGAGTCATGGAAAACTCTGTTGTTTCTCTTCTACTTACTTATTTATTGCTTGATGGTATTGAAATTAAAAACTTCCTTGGATGCTTGCCTTCTTAAATCCTTATTTTAAACATTAATATAAACAACTTTGCTTCTTGTCCACTGCAGTTTAAAACTTTAATAATTGTCTTGATTTTCCAATTAACAAACAATATCAATTATTTTAAGCAGGGAGGAAAAATAAAAGGACTGCTTTGAAGCATCAGCCCCAGTGGTGACACAACCATGATCCCAGTGGTCACACAACCATGATCCCAGTGGTCAGCCAGCTGCCAACTCAGGTAGGGTCAACTGGAGCAGATTGCTCAAAGCTACAGCAGATATCAGGCAGTCCAGGTATTGAGGAGGACTGCAAGGTTGTTCACAAATTATGAGAGAATTTCTGTCATCTCCCATCAAAATGTGGGACGTAAGAGAAGTCTGAAGGAGTGGGGTGTAGCTGCAGCATGGATGTCCTGTCTATATTGGCACATCTTGGTCTGCTATCCAACCAACTGCACAAACCAAATGTATCTTTACTCCTTAAACTCACTGACTGTGAGGTGTGAGGCACTGGGCAGGCCAGAGAATTTGTGACTGCCCCATCCCAGGTGGTGTTCAAGGCTAGGCTGGCAGAAGCTTTGATCAACCTGGTTTAGTGAAAAAAAAATATTACAGGGAAAAGAAGAACTAGATGAACTTTAAGGTTCATCACAACCTAAATTCTATGTCTGAGATTAAATCTACACTACAGAGAGTGACAGATGCAAGCTCACTCAGCTCACCAAGGCCAGCGTGATCACATCACTGAAATATAAAACTCGGGTTAATATATGCTTTAACAGAAAAGGAGATAGGATTTAGACTGGATATTAGAAAAAATTCCATCACCAAAAGCATTGTAACTTTGGAACAAACTGCCCAGGGAAGTAGTGGAGTCACTGTCTCTGGAATTATTTTAAAGATATATAGATGTAGCACTCAGGGACATGGTTTAGTCATTTACTTCAAAGTGCTAAGTGAACCATTGGACTTGATAATCTTAAGGATCTTTTCCAGCATAGACAATCCTATAATTCTTAAATTTTAGGGTGCATTAGCTGGGGCTTGGCTCCAGGTTGACAGCCAGTCTGGTATGTCTGGTGGCTCAGATCTCCTGCTGTGGGCCAGGGCACAGGGCAGGCTCACGCTGGCTCCTAAGGAATCCTGTGGACATATCCCATGCTGCTGCTCTGTTGAGTGGGTACAGCCACCAGTAGTGCAGTCACTCCTGAGGGATTGGGATTTAAAAGGGTGTAGGCAGTGCTTGGCAGGCTGCAAGTTTGAGGTATTGGTTAATTAAATTCCTTGTAGATTTTCCCTTCATGATAATGCTAAATCCAGGGATAAGTTGTCCTGGCAACAGCTTTGGCTACTGTACTTTCCACCCTTGCTTTTAGGACTGTGATTAGAGGTACTTGAGTATGTAAATCACCATCTGAGGCTGGTGGATGTATTTATTTATTTCACAGAAAGTGGTGCCCATATGAATTGAAAATGCGGTGCACT